TGTGTGTGTGTGTGTGTGTGTGTGTGTGTGTGTGTGTGTGTGTGTGTGTATATATATATACATACACAATAATCCTCACCCCACTCTTTGAAGTAGGTCTTATTCCCGTTTTCAGGTGGAAACTAGATCTTAAATTTAGGTCTTTCTGACTAGTGTGCTTACCACTAACCAAAGAATAATAGCTTAGCTAGTTGCCCAACTTTGGCACAATCACTATGGTTTAGCTTAAGTATTCCAGTTGTTGGTAGTAGAAGGATAAAGTAAGAACCAAGTGTTGAAGCTTCTAAATCATTGTTTTGAATAGTAACATTTAAGGTAGCATTTTTGAGTGGTTAATTTAAGGTTTCATTTAGGTATTAAGTTTGGGCTTCTGTTACATGAATTTTTGTGGAAGTTTTTATTGGTGGAAGAACAGATTTTTTCCTCACACTGTTGGTGAGCTGAATATTTTCATCTCTGTTTAGTATTTTGATAGCTTAGTAATTATTGTAAATTGCTTATTCTTTTGTAGTCCATATGTGATTTGCCTGGAGTGAAAGTAGAAGACATCAGAAAGTGATAAACTTTAAATTACTTGCTAACTGAAGACAAGTAGGTCTTTAATTCCATGCCAACTCTGAATTGTAGGGGCTGCCTGGAGCACTGTGGTGAGAAAGATTCTAAGGGTCTCAATGGATTAGTTACATCTTCTTTGGTTGCAGGAAGGAACCCATTTTCCATCCTTAAGAAGGTTTTTGATGGAGGCCAGATCTGTTTCCTTGAAATGACTGGCACTGATTTTTTTCTAAAGAAAAGGAGGAGTCTTTTTAAAAGTTTTAAACCAATAAATGTGTCACAACTATTTAGAGTTAGGAACATAGGTGATACGTGTTAATTTGTTCAATGTTATATGTATCTACCAAAGGTGAGAAAACGAACAAAATAACATTTTGTGACTTCACAGAGTTTGCATTCTGTGTGGTGGTCACAGCTGAATCAAATATATTCAAATTCGGAGGTTAAAAGCCCTGGTATTTCTTTACCACTCTTGATCATCTTACATAACTGTAGTTAGTATCAATAGAGTATTGTGTCTTATACATAAAACTTAAAATTATGTATCATTCTTAGGTGTAACTTGTTAATGTTTTAATGAATCTTCACCTCCCCCCCAATATAGCAGCCACTTTGTTTAGAAATGCATTTTTGGGGGTGCCTGGGTGGCTCAGTGGGTTAAAGCCTCTGCCTTTGGCTCAGGTCATGATCCCAGGGTCCTGGGATCAGGCCCCTCATCGGACTTTCTGCTACGAGGGGAGCCTGCTTCCCCCTTTCTGTGCCTGCCTTTCTGCCTACTTGTGATCTGTCAAATAAATAAATAAAAATCTTTTAAAAAAATGCATTTTTGTTGGTTGGTTTGAATAATATCCATTTTTTTTAATTGGTTTATCCTGAGAAAAGTAGTTGGTCAAAAAGGAGGTATGATGAAGTCTGATTAGTGTTTAGTGTTAAGTACCTTCATACACATCCTGAGATCTGATGCACACCAATATCCAGAAAGTAGTGGGGAAAAAAGTGTTGAAAGCCAAAACAAAAATGTTAAACCACTGGCTTTTTAAATTTAGAGGTTAGAAGTTTTCTCTGTGTTCTTACCTCAAACTACTCTTGCTGTGCCTACACTTCGGTAAAGGTTTAATTCAGCAATGATTTCTTATCTCTTATATTGTCTTTTTCTGTATATATATATGTTTTTAGTAGGACAGGTAGGACAGGACAATAAAGAATAAACCTTATGGCCTGTTTTGGTTTTTTTTTTTAAATCCAGTTTTTAATATGGTCTAGCCCAGAGGTGGGCTACATATATATGGTCTCTGTTACCATAGTTTTTTTTTTCCAACCGGTTAAAATGGAAAAACATTTTTAGTGTGAGGGCAGTTAAAAACAGAGGGTAGGTCAGGTTTGGCCACAGTTTGCTAATCTGCAGACTAGCCTACTAAAAATCTTCAAAAGCTTATGTATAATCATGATTGCACCTAGATCCATGGTAAAATAGTCACACTTTGCTAATATAAAAATCTTTTTTGTTAAGCCATTTTTCTTAAATTATAAAGTTGCCATTCAGTAGTGCCACCCAAGGTGGCATTTGTTGTACTAGTAGAAATTGTTGAAGAAAAATCCAGCTTTGTATCTTTTTATCTTTGATGATGGGTGTGGATCATCTTTTTATATCCTTGGTTTCTTACAGCCAACCTCAAGAGAATTTGCAAGACAATTGTTGAGGCACCAAGTGATGAGGACAGACTAAAAGCTTTTGCTCCCATTCAGGAAATGATGACTTTTGTGCAGTTTGCTAATGATGAATGTGATTATGGTATGGGGCTTGAGCTGGGAATGGATCTCTTTTGTTATGGCTCACACGTGAGTAAAAAAAAACCAAAAAACAAAAAACTCTTACCTCCCGTCACTGAATCTCTCTTCCCCATCACACTCCACATACAGGCATACTACAGCATGCACATTTATGTCCCCACTAGCACGGGTAGGATATAAAGTCATTTTGTGTGTTCAAATGAATTTCTTTTTTCCAAAAGGAACTTTTTGGTAAGCATCTGTCTGAAGATATTTATTTGAAATTCGTCTTATATTCTGCCAGAGGTGAATAACCAAGATTATTTGCCTTCAGGTTTCCATTAAAGTGAATTTACTTATTAGACGTATTATACAGCTATATGCCCTTTAGTTAGGTATGTGTGTGGCTGTGTACACATACCTTTCATAGGGCTCTGTTTGGTTTTCTGTTGTGGTGGGGGTATTTGTTCTATGCTTGAATTCCTAGATGAAAAATAAATACTACAATAGTCCCTAGCCTCCCACCTGCCTTATCCATGACTTCACTTCCTGTGGTTTTAGTTACCTGTGGTCAGCCATGGACCAGAAGCAGATCCTCCTCCTGAGATACTGTCAGGAGGGCAGTAGTAGCCTAACACTGTAGGTCAGTGCCTACGTCACTCACCTCACTTCATCTTACTATGTAGGCATTTTGTCAGGTCATATCCTCCTCAGAAAGGTTGGACAGTATTTGGAAAGTCACCACATTCATGTAGAACACTTACAACAATAGACTGTACTGAAGCTATCTTATTGCTTGTTAATCTCTTATTGTGCCTAATTTAGAAGTTAAACTTTATCATATAGGAAAACATAGCATACAGAGGATACTGTTCGTGGTTTTAGGCATCTACTGGGGGTCCTGAAACCTATCCCTTGTGAATAAGGTGGGGGACACTGTATCTTAAAATAGGCTTTCAGTGAAATTACTTAAAACATAGGAGTTTTGGGGGTTTTTGTTTTGTTTTTTTGGTCATGACCTTTGCTTATAAAATAGGAAAGACCTACCTAACAGTTAAATCATTCGCTGTAGTTGCCTCGAGATGTAGTGTCTGTAGCATGTTTCTGGAGCTAAACTGATTTTAAGTCCCATCTTCCCCACTTAGTAGCTGTGTGGGATGGCATTTTATAGCTCAGGAACACCATTGTACCTGTCTCTCTTAGCTATAAAATGTCTGCACACGTGCACATACACAGACACACACTCCTTTCTCATTTAACCTATGATGTCACCTACCAGCCATAAAGAGGTAAACCATCTTGTTCAGGTTTGCAGGCAGTCTGGTTCCAGAGTTAGGGTCTAAATCAGTAATTCCCAAACTGTAAAGTGCATACAGATCTCCTGGAGATAATGTTAAAATGCAGACTGTTTCAGTGCATCTGGGGTGAGGCCGGAGACTGTATTTGACATGCTCCTGGGTGTTGGTAACACTGCTCCTCTTGAGACTAGTGTCTCAAGACGAAACCAGTGGCTAACTCCAGCATGTAGCACAGCCGTGTGGAGGGCTGATCAAACACAGATCGGTGTACTTACCCCGACACTGCCCACCCTCCCAGTTTTGATCGAGTTCTGGGGTGAGTTTTATGAATTTGGATTTCTGACCCGTTAACCAGGTCAGGCTGATGCCACTGGGCAGGGGAGTCTATTTTGAGAACTCTGCTCCAAACCATATCACTGTGTTTCTCTGCCTACCTTATATATGGTTATCAGTAAAAATAATCAAAATGTTTAATAGCCAGAATAACAGTCATTGACCAATCAGAATAATGCTGGGCTTGCCAAAATATGTGAACATCAGCTTAATTAAAAATGATTGGTTTGAGTACTAAACAACATATGAAAAGGTTTAGCACTGTACTGAGCATCTAGTAAGTGCTAAATGCCATCAACAGAAGCATTGCGAGGTTCTCTTTGAGTTTATATATACTGTGTGTGTGTGTGTATAAATATATAAATAAAATAGCAATAGTCTGAGTCACTTGGTAAACCCAAGGCAGTGACTTAAGTGATGGAGCAGGGTTACAGGGTGGGGTCGAGGAGAGAGAATGTGAAGATAAAGGGAATATGATTTGAGAACTCAGATTCAGCATAGTGCTTCGTATAGTAAATGCCAAGGAAAATAATGATTAAAGTCTTACCCGGTAGGGATACTACTAGAGAAGGAAAAGCATTTGAGCACATAGTTTGGGGCAAGTAAAAAGGATGATGATCCTTATCTAAGGGATTAGGAAAGCTTAAAATTTTAACTTAGTTTTCTTCTGAATTTTCTTCAAGATGTACCATTAGCCTTTTAGAACTACAGGACTGCCTCTTGAACAGAGTGCTAAGTGTCTGTGTGAATTCACTGTTCCTAACCAATTTAGGAAGTAGTTAAAATGATTTGGAGAGTATGCTTCGTTAAACAAGAGCTTTTTCAGTGTATTTTTTGCTACTTACTGGGGCATCTGCTATCTCTACTTAATGTTATATTCTTTTATTTTTCAGTATTTTCATAAAGTTGCTGGCCAGCTTTTACCTCTTGCATATAATCTGCTGAAGAGGAATCTCTTTGCAGAAATTATTGAAGATCATTTGGCAAACAGAAGTAAAGAAAACATAGACCAACTTTCAGCATGAATGAGTTGGCTTTCTTTCAGTGTATATTTTAAAGCGTTAGTATTAAACTTGTGATTTTTGTTTGTTTTTAAGGAATACAGAAAATAAATTGATGGAAATATTTACTAAAAACTTTTATAAAGCTCTTCTAGCCCTTTTCTTTCATGTGCAGATCAATGGCAGTCAGTCATCTAAATGGTGATGCCCTAATCATATCTGAAAAACAACCAAAATCCTCCTCTGACGCGTCACAGAAGTCACAGTCTGCTGCCTGTGGATACCAGACCTCTCATCAGGGAGTCCTGTTTCAATACTGAACATATGGACAACTAAAAATGTACTCCTCAGACTTGAATTAATAATAGCTATAGCTTTAGGACTGGATTTATGGGTGGTGGGGAGGGGATAAGGGGAAGTAAACTTGGTAAGTGCCTGACCCCAGAGGTACCAAAGCTGCATTTTAACAGTATCTCCAAGGGGATATGTATGTGGTCCGGGTACCTACTAGGTATATTCTTTAAAACAGTTCTTTGACTCAGAGTATTTACTAATCTATGTAATACAGAATATTGATATACAGTATAGCATTCTAACCAGTATACTATTAATTTAGATTTTAAAGTTTACTACTGTAAATTATATCATTGGATTTCTAGTACAGATCTGTGATTACAGCTGTGTTTTACCAGATTCATACCCTCCTCAAGCCTGACAAAATGTCCTTCACCTTAAAAATAAGAGCACAAACCATTAAATATAAAATAGCCAACTCTGCGGATTGGGCTGAAGCTTTTCCCCCTTTGTAAGAAGTTCAAGGTAAAAAAAAAGCCCTTAGGTCATCTTGTAAGGGTTTTTTGGCAGAAGATTGACTTGACTTAACCAAATTTTTGCAGAAGATTGACTTAACCAAAGAACTTTTATTGAATTGTCAGTCTCCAGAGTCACTTACCCTGTCAGCTATCTCCTTAAGATAGTTTGAGATAACTTACTATTTGACATTAAAGTATGAGCAGTCTATGAGCAAACACTTCCAGCCAGGATTTTTAATACGAGCAGCTTGTCTCATCTCCCCAGTTAAGCTGCAAATTTTTAAAGAACACGTATTTTATCAGTATATGTCCCTCTCAGTAACATAAACCTTTGAGTATGTATTTATTTTTTCAACAAAATGACCCTATTCCGTGCTGCTCACTAACTGCCAGATAAAATCGCACTTGCAAGATTTGGGAAACCACTGAGATGCCCTTAAGGTAAGAATTGTTGACTTCTCAGACAACAGAATGTCTTCTGAAGTTAAAAATCCCCTCTGCTACTACAGCCTCTACCTAGTATCTGTTTTCCTTCCCATGGTCCAGGCTGCCTTTGTAGGACATTAAGATGCTTTCTTCAAGAGAGATGTTTTATATAATAGTGTAGCCAAACTAAACTGAAAACACCCTTGTACCTTCCCTTTCGTTACCAGAACTTTCATAGTTCTGATGTGAGGTCTTGAGTGGTTTTAAGGAACTGCCACATTTGAGTGCATAAGCAGCTGCAGGTCCTAGCCCCATCTGAATGAAGCTGTAAGATGACAGGAACATTAGCTCATACATACTTTGATTAGAAAAGCTGACCAAATCATATTGGGTCTTAACTAATTGAACATTTTAGAAGCTCCTGAGCTTTTTTCCTCAGACTTCCTTAGTTTCTAAGGTACTTAATACTGGGGGCAGTATTCAGAAATAGTTAACATAGATCTTTTAAATGCTGACTATTCAAATAAGTTCAGCTATATTATACGAAACCAATCTGCTTGGCTAGAAATGTTAGCCATTTAATTCTGCCATTCCTTGATTCAATAATTTCAAATATAGTTTGTAGCTTTTTTAAAAATACGCCTTCTTGTGATCAGTAATATGGATTGTAATAGGATTTCTTACCAAGGAGCAAAGTGAAGTGAAGGGGGACAAAAAAGACCAGCTTTTCATCCACCCTTATACAAACCTAAGATTATATTTTCAGAAAGATAGGCATCATGTAACAGCCAAGACTGAACTGGATACCAATGCCAATATGGCTCTTATAATCTTGATACTGTAGTTGTGGATTTCCAGTCTCAAACTCCCAATTTGTGTCAGAGGGCTGCAAACAGGTTTCAGGAGGTACTGACCTTCCAACTACTGAAAATTTTCATTAAAGAGGAAGATCCTTAGGTAATACCAAACTTCTCTTTTTTCCCCTCACTGAAGCACAGTCTGCTGAAAACCAGTTTGCTGAATATTTTTATCTACCTGGAATGTGGCCATCCAATGGCTCTAGTCACTTCCACACGCCGCCTATCTACTTCTGTTCACAGAACACATTCTAGGGGCCTACACTCACAAGTGAAGTACCTTAACCCAATAAGAATTTAACAGAATCACTACTCAAATTTAGCTGAGCTCATTCCTGGAGCTTGATAACAGAGTTTCTGTATGACCTCTCAAACACTTACCTAGAAAGATACACCCAAGAAAAAAATGAAAGCTATAAAATTTAATCCAAGAGAGTGCTACAAACTACTTCGCCACAGTGACAGATACTATCTACACAGATGATCCTTCTGATACCTTAAACCTCACAGTTTTTTCAGTATCTAGACCAGGGTGAACAAACTAGGGCCGAGGGCCAAATCTGGCCCACTCCTCATTTTTGTAGATTAAAATTTCATGGAGGAGCAGCCACACCCATTCGTTTGCATATTATGTGTGCCTATAGCTTGGCAGAGCAGTTGCAGTAGATTGTTATGGCCCCAAAGCCTAAAGGATTTACTATCTGGCACTCCACAGAAGAAAATTTGCTGACCCCTGATCTAGACGGTCCCCCTCATTAGCCATCAACTCCAAAGTCACACCCTAGACCCTTGTCAGCACAATAATGCAAACCTAATCTGCTTCAAGCATCCTACTGTCCAAAATATCACCATCCATCTTTTCTTCTCTTCCTCTAGTCCCCACCATAGCCTACACCAACTCACTGATCTAGCAGCCCTTTTCACTATTCTTCACTCACTCGGCATTCTCGCTTCCCTCTTCACCCACCCTTCTGTTCCACTCTCCATCCTTATCATCACTCCCCCGCATCTACTCCACTGCCCCCTCTCCATTAGTTGTACTTACGTTAGAACCTTAAGCCTGATAAAAAGCTGCCTACTCCTGCTTCCGCTCAGTATCAGGTGGCTGGGGAAAAAAATAACCATGACACCTGGTCTTGTTTTAACCTCAGGTTGTCATACTACTGCCCATTAATCCTACTACTTCCACATCTTTCCTCAAACACACAACAATACCTCCCAGCCCTCAGTTTATTTCACTAGGAAAAAACAAGCAAAGTAACTTCCACAAGATCTCACCCCACACTACCAACTACCCAATATTCTCTGCCTCTTCCACATTGGTATGACTGTTGCTTAATGTCCCACTGTGTGCCCAAGATGCCATCCCCTCTTCCCTACTCAAAGACCTCTCCCCTCTCTTCAAATCAATTTCCCCTCTCAAATATTCCTACCAATAACAAAAGCTGTAATATCCTACATCCTAAAACAAAACACTGTCTTTCACACATCCAGTTTCCAGAAAACTCAGCAAGAGTTGAAATAGCTGCCTTTCGGGGATGCCTGGGTGACTCAGTTGCTTAAGCATCTGCCTTTGGCTTAGGTCATGATCCCAGGGTTCTGTGACAGGGCTCCCCGCTCAGCAGGAAGTCTGCTTCTCCCTCTCTCTTCCGCCCCTTCCCCACACCTGCTCATGCTCTCAAATAAATAAAATCCTAAAAAAAATTAAAAATTGCTGCCTTCAGTTCCTTTCATCAATCTCTGTCAAACGCACTCCAATCAGACTTTTGCCCGATCTCGCTGAACCAGCCTTGGTCAAAATTATCCATTATCTCCCACTAGGCAATTTTCAGTCCCCATTTACTTCACTGGATCAGCAACACCTGAAAAGTTGATCCTCCTTGAAACATTCACTTACCTTAGGGGACCACCTTTCTCTTAAAGGCACCAGTATTCCCCCTACCTCACTGGTGCCTCCCTCTTTGCCGGCCCCTCATCACCTCAAATCTAAGTATACATGTATGTCAACGTTCCCGCCTTCTCTTACCACTTAATCCCATGGTGATCCCCTCCTGGCTCAGGATGATACCTCCCAGATGTTTCAGGTCTCTTAGGCTGGACCTTCCTCCTGAACCTGAGTCTCTGTATATTCGATTGCCTAATTGACAGCCCCACTTTGAAGCCAAAAAGTCATTTCAAATTTAATGTCTAAAACCAAAATTCCTCTGTACACAACCTCAAATCTAGTCTTCCTGAAGTCATTCCCAATTCAGTCAGTGGCCATTGGAAACCTCCTTTACTCCTCTTGTACCACTCCACATTTGATCCATTAGCAAATCCGGTCTATGCAACCTCCAAAACGTCTAGAGTCCAGCTACTTGAACGACCTCCACCAGCCCCAGGCAGGTTTGAGGCTCTATCATATTTTACCTTGATTATTCCGAGAGCCTTCTAATTGCGTCTCCCTCCTTCCACCCCTTCCCCATTATAGTCTATCCCCAACAAAGCAGCCAGAGACATTAAATCAGATCATGTCACTTTTCTGCCCCACTGGCTTCCCATTTTATTCAAAATAAAAGTCAAACGACTATATTCCTAACTTCTTTCTTCCTCTTACACCCTACTCCCTACTCCAGCCACAGAGACCTATTTGGTATTCCTTCTGTCAGGTATATCCTCCCTCAGGATGTTTGCACGTACTACTTCCTCTTCTCGGAACATTCTCCTCACAGATAACGGTATCATTCCCTTACTTTAAGATTCTGCTCAAATGTCACCTTAATGCTGAGGCCCTTTTTCATCACCCTCTATAAAAATCCCCATTACTGATTTCTCTC